GATAACCAACTTTTTCCCAAGAAAGTAGAAATATTTGCATTTTCTTGTAGTGATACAAAATTTCCCGTTTTCTATGATAATCTGCTTTGGAAAATACGTTGAGCTAATATTTTCTTAAAAGTCGATAATCTACTTCCACGAAAGTCAATCTACTTTCCGGTAGATAATCTGCTTTTCAGAATGAATAACCAACTTTCCCGGAAATGAATGTTCCCATTTTTCTATGATACAAATTTCCGTTTTCTATGATGATGAATGACCAACTTTCCCAGAGAGTAAAATGTTTCACATTTTCTGTGATACAAATTTCCCGTTTTCTGCAGTAATCTACTTTTGGAAAATAAGTTAGACTGTATTTCCCAAAGATTCGATAATAATCTACTTACGAAAGTCAATCTAGCAAAGTAGATGATCTACTTTTTCGGGAATAACCAACTTCGGAAGTAGATATTTTTCGGGAAAGTAGATAACCAACTTTCCGGAAAGTAGATATTTCCATTTTCTATGATACAAATTTCCGTTTTCTATGATAAGTAGATAACCAACTTTCCCAGAAAGTAGAAATATTTCACATTTTCTGTGATACAAATTTCCGTTTTCTATGATAATTATATAATCTACTTTGGAAAATACGTTAATATTTCCCAAAAAGTCGATAATATACTTCCACGAAAAGTCGATAATTTACTTTACCGAAAAGTGGATAATCTACATTTCGGGAAAGTAGATAACCAACTTTCCCGGAAAGTAGATATTTCCCATTTTCTATGATACAATTTTCCGTTTTTCTATGTTAAGTAGATAACCAACTTTTACAGAAAGTGGAAATATTTCACATTTTCTGTGATACAAATTTCCCTTTTTCTATGATAATCTACTTCGGACCAATTTGGCCCCAGCGGACCTATTTTGCCTCAACCGGACCTATTTTGCCCAAACCGGACCTATTTGGGCCAAACTGGATCTATTTGGCCACAACCGGACCTAACTTGGCCACCTGGCCCAATCTGGCCTACCCTAGCCCAAACTGGCCCACCTGGCCCACCCTAGCCCTCCGTGGCCCAACTTGGCCCACCCTGGCTAAGGATCTGTTAACCAAATTTTGATATCTGGATTATTGCTTGTTCAAATGGCTTTTAGAAGATTTTAATTACTGTACGTTTGCAATGCTAATTACTCGCCACCTATGAGTTTTCGAGGTAATTTCATGGTGCTTGTGTATTATTCTGGGTGTACTTAAAGTCTAGGCATATTTAATTTTAGTTCTGACAGAAAAAGTATTTTTGGCCAAAAATCCTGTAAGGGTTAAGCCTAATATATTTACAAGGAAAATTCACACACAAAGACTAGAAGGCAAAACAGAATGGCAACTTTATTTAAATTCCTATTAAACATCCTAAATATTATACCTAACAATCATAACAAAAATAACTTATCTGTTGAGTTGAATACAGGTCAGTCACATAAGTAAAGAAAGTAAATACCCAAGCAACACCAAGAGAATTGGGGAAGCAGCTCTGACACGATACAGCAGTCGGTGTCAAGAGTAAAACTGACACTCAGCCGGCTTTACCCAACCCGAAGGGTGGATGGCGGGAATTTAATGTCATCTGGTGTTCATCACCGGAAGAACAGTATACTTAATCAATTATTATTATATTTTTTTTTTTACGGGGATTAGCCCACCCGGGCACGAGTCACTGATCACATCGGGGCCCGGGGGCGAAAATGTAATAGTAATAATAATAATAATAATGATAAAGAACCATAAAAAAATAAATAATGAGAAACAATATATGTGTGTTGTGTTGTTAATGGTAAGAGAAACAATTGATACCCTGCAATTGTGTGTAAATGAGGCAGAAAGTCAGATCAGCAACCTGGGACTTGGTCGCAATTTTCGTGATGCCATATGGCAGCAGGGTCTACCATTAGACAATACAGTATATTATGCTTCCAATATCTTCCCAGGCGGTAGTACCTCCCTCTTTGGTAGCTGCCTAATACCTACTACCTGTTACGAATAAACTAGCTAATTAGAATAAATCAACTAAATAAATGTATTTTACATGTCATATTACTACAAAATAATACAGATAATATAATTATAATATATACAATACACCTGGATTTATATGAGCTCCAATGAAATCACTAATACTCTGTACCTGATTCACTGGAGCTCTCCGTAATCCGAGTTACCTCAACTAAGGATTCATGACAATGCTTGATAATTCTTTATACTCGCCAAATGACTTAAACTATACGATAAAGGAGACAATTATGTGACGTAACAGTCTTCGCTTCAAACACTGAACTATGATCCAGGGATTACTTTCTCTGTAATAATCGAATCACATGAAAATTAGGCCCCCAGCTTATTTTACCTGATGATTAAACACCCTAATGATACCTGGGGGTTTAGGCAGGGCCGTAACCAGCCTTGATGGCACCCAGGGCATTGGTTGAATTTGGTGTCCCCTCCCTTCACGGCTCCCCACCACCACTAACCCTCCACTCCCTGCAGCCCCACTTCCACCGCAAATAATTTTATCAACTAAATTTTAATTCATATAAATAATGTAGCATAATAGTAAATAAGGAATTGCTAAGACACTGATGATGATGTATAATTGTACGTTTGTATCAAGGCAAGAACTGGAATAATTTTCTATAAGTAATCACCAATTTGCTGCTCAAAATACACATAGTCTACATTCAGTTCATAAAATACCATAACCCAGTGGATCGCTTAACTTTTCATTATAAAATTCTTTTACTCTCCAAGTAAACAGATTCAATAATAATTTTGGACAATTCTGATGACAGATTGACCAGATTTTACTCTTAATCCTAAAAAGTAAGTTTATTTATCCAATATTAATTATCATAATACACAGTATATCAAGGCTCATACATTAAAAAATTAAAAGTATAATGGTGTGTTAATTACATCAGCACATATGAGGCACCTACAGAAATATCACTGAAAACTAAGAATGTATATTAAGAATGACTCTGGAACATCATTTATTACAGAATCACTTTTCTTGCCTTCTTGGTTGCAAATTCATCTATTACACTGTCAAAATTCATAGAATTTGCTATCTTCTGTTCAATTGATACAATAGCTATGTTATATAAACGTTCTTGGGCCATAGATGAACGCAAGTAATTCACAGGAAGCAACCGTAACTGGAAGAGTTAAGAATATACTCAGAGCTACATCATTATTGGGATATACATCTTCAAGAACATACAGTATGTGTAAATCATATTCAACAGACCCAGTGGAGTAGCAGCTGATAGATTTGCCAACAGTGCATTTGCCTGAAGCTTTAAAGGTTCAATTTCAGATGCAAAATCATTTATATCTAAATCACTTGGATATACAAGAGCAAGATCAGATGTACTCTTCTTCAGGTTGTCAGTAGTAAAGAATGACAGGACAAAGCCATGAAGAAATGAAAACTCCTCTGAAATACTCACCATTTTTAAAAATCTCCATTGGATCTGTGTGATGAATAGCATCATATATTGAATTGCATTCCCCTTTTGAATTCCATCTCTAATGTGAGAGCTTCATCCTCAGCCAGTTCTCCTGGCAATCTTTTCTTTTTCCTTGGTATTCTCTCTGGAAAATTTGGTGTGATTCCAAGATTTTCTGAAATATTCTCAGCATGTGCTACTGCCAATGTGACTTTCCCACCACTTTTTCTCATTTCAGTAAAATTGGATACTAAACCATTCAACATTTTTGTGGGACAATCAAAGGTAATATTTTTTGCTTGAAGGCCACAGTTGACACGGTCGATGAGGATCAGTATGTCACACCAAAAATCTAACAAACAAATGAAAGTGAAGTCAATCTAATTCATCAGTGTTCTGGCACCTGTTACCGTGTCCGTATTCAAGTTGGGGTCATTAGATATACTCTGCAAAACTCGATACAGTTTAGAAAGCTGGTGATGAAGTGCTACTACTGCCTGTTTCTTTGAGGCAATTTGGCGCCCAGAGCGGCTGCCCCTTCTGCCACCCACTAGGTACGCCCCTGGGTTTAGGTTAGGTTAGCGTTACGATGTTTAATCATTAGGTGAAATAAACTGGGAAGGGCGGAAGAGGGGTTACTCTTCATGTGATCAAACAGTGATACATTAAATTTTTATGAATCGTAGTCCAGATTCATAATGAGTCGGAAGTAATTTTTTCTCGCCTACTAAGAAGTGTGAAACCAGATGAAAAAACAAAAAACAACATGAAACTATTTTCATGACACTGAAACTCTTCCCTAAGTACAGACATAAAGGAAAAAAAACACGAAACCTTATGAATCCAGGTTCCTACACGTGTGATTGGGGTTCATCATCAACTGGTCCCACAAGATGCATCACCGAGAAGACGCAATACCTCCCACCAGCTCATCAGATGATCAGCCAACGACACGTCCCATTCATCAATACGAGTCGCTCAGATTTACATAGCAGATGGCAATTCATCAATGATTCTCGGGTAGGTGGACGGGCGAGGAGGTGAACGTATGGTAATGTATTCATATATGCTGTGAGGGAGGGGGAAGGGGGAGAGAGGGAGGGATGATGGAGAGGGAGGGATGATGGAGAGGGAGGGAAGATGGAGAGGGAGGAATGATGGAGAGAGAGGGATGATGGAGAGAGAGAGGGATGATGGACAGGGAGGAATTGGGAAGAAAAGAGGATGAGAGAGGGATGGATGAGAGAGGAATGAGGGAGAGGGAGGGATGATGGAGGGGGAAGGATGAGGGACGGGGAGAGGGAGGAATGTGTGAGAGAGAAATGGATGAAGAAAAGGGAGTAATAAAGGAGATGGAAGGAAGGGGTAGACGCAGAGCCCCCCGTTAATAAAAAAAATGTGATCTTCAACACTCCCTCTCTGTCTGTCTGTCGACATATTTTTCTGTTTTTCATTAATATTTATCTTTTCTCTGTCTTGTTTTTCTCTCAGTTTCCTATCTAATCTTCCTTTTATTTTTAGTATGTTTTCTCTCATTCACACAAGAGTTTTATGTTCCCATGTTTTCAGTGTGTGTGTGTAAAAAGTTGTTAATAGTTGTTTATGGGCGTCCAAAAAACTCAATGGCATGCTAAAATTTTTAACCACCAAATTTAAAACAAAAATATTCAGTTGTGTTGAGAATACTGCAAACACACACACACACACACACACACACTCTGCCACCACCACCAATTGCAAGATATTATCCAGAAAGATGACCTCTGTTCTCACATTCACGTAACCTTTGACACATAAGAGGCTACTGAAGGGCGAGCCCAAACAATCTACTGCCATCCCCACGAATCCTTGCCCACATTATTATAAGGTTGACTATCACATCTTATTTTGGCATTCAGGTGACCTTCAGTAACCAAAGGATTAGTGATTGGCCCGTCAAAAAACCACGAGGTTGTAGTTGTTATGCCTCTTTAGTAACCTACGGAGCTTTTCTACAATGAGTTTGATTTTTCCTAAAGATTAGTTAATTATCCATCACGTTCTTTTACTAAATTCTCTTCATCCTGTAATATGAACTGAATTAATGTTGAACTGTTTGGCTTTCACAACGTTGTAGCAAAATTTCCGGATGATAAGATAAATTTGGTTCTTCATTTCTTCCTTCGTTTTTGTTCATCGACAGCGACTACACAACCCCTTCACCAAGTCAGCAACCCATTGTGGACGTTTGGGTCAACCTTACACAGTGGTGGAGAGGACTAATGAAGGTTTTGAGAATGGCCGTAACACCTGCAGTCTAAAAATGATCCTAAGTCTTTGCTTGCCTTGAACACATCGATTATATGCTAATCACTTCACCTCAGTCTATTTCAGGAGATAAGTTTTTGAAGTTCAACACCAAAAGGAGCATATTAGTAGAAAACGTAAAAGTTTACTACACCACAAATCACTCTGAGAAGTTTCAGGTCTTTAGTTTTAAAGGTTTCTCAGAACATGCTGACCAAAAATTTCGTTGCCGCTGGTTATCATGATGGTATTTATATTAACAATTACTAGCCTGGACACTATGGCTTTGATCTTTATATAATGGAAACATAGTAGCAGTAGCAACATGGAATGGTCTGTCCTCCAATCTACACTCAAGGGAGACTTCAACAAAGCTAAGAAACTTAAAACACACATTATAAGGCTAAGGAAAATGAGTCTCACGAGGTTGACAGTCCACTAAGGAAGGTGCGAAAGAACACGCCAAATATCAAATTATTGATAAGCATGGAGGCAATGTACTACACTCGACCACCTTCACTTCCTTGACTAAAAAGTTAGATACCCCTTCACAGTTGAGTGGACTAAGGGTAACCCTGCACAAACCAGTGATCCCAAGGCCAGTAGGCGAGTGTTGTATCCATTCGACTGTCGTACCTTAGGGCCAGCTTAACATATAATCATAATTAAAAAAATTATTTATTACGTCAATAATACAATCCCTTGACTCCAAACCTATAAATGATAAACCTTTTTTTGTTTTACATGAGTCAAATCGTTTAACAATCACCTTTTTATCTCCAGCACGCCTAGCACACTTACCATACCTAACACACCTCTATCACACCTAACACGCCCAGCACACCCGCTGTCATGTGTCCCCATCTTACAAGAAGCCACCACAACCAGAGGTAAAATCAGTCTTCTTTTCTAGACCCAAACAAAGCCTTAAGACCTTCTTTGGGGTGGCGGCAACCCCAGGGGCCCTCCCAAGAGCGTCGACGCCCCCAGGGGCCCTCCCAAGAGCGTCGACGCCCCCAGAGGCCCTCCCAAGAGCGTCGACGAACCCAGGGGCACTCCCAGATGCGGAGGCGCCCATAGGGGCCCTTACAGGGGTGGCGACGCCGCTAGGAGGCCTCCCCAAGGGCCCTCCTTATGGGAGGCGGTGACCCCAGGGGCCCCGACACTGTCGGTGGCGCCTTCAGGGGCCTCCCAAAAGCGACAGCACCCCTAGGGGCTCGTCTTATGGACAGCATCGCCCCCAGAGCCCCTCTCAAGGGCGGTGGCGCCCCCAGGGGACCTCCCAGGGGCGGCAGTGCCCTAGGGGTCCTCCCAGGAGCCCACCCACGGGCGTCGGCGCCAACAGGGGCCCTCCGAGGAGCAGCAGGGGCCCTCCAAGAGAGGTGGCGCTCCCAAGGGCCCTCCCATGGGCGGTGGCGTGGCCCTGTCAAAGGCGGTGGCGCACCCAGGGGCCCTTCCAGGGGCGATGGCACCCACATGGGCCCTCCGAGAAACGGCGGCGACCCCAGGGGCTCTCCTTAGGGGAGGCAGCGACCCTGGGAGGCAGCGACACGAGGAGTTGTGTCAGGGGCGGTGGAGCCCTTAGGGATTCTCCTTCGGGGCAGCAGCACCCCTAGGAACCCTCCCACGGGCGGTGGGGCCCCCAGAGTCACTACCCACGGGCAGCGGCGCCAAAAGAGGCGTTGGGAGCCCTCCAAGAGGCGACGACGCACCCAGGGGACCTCCCAGGAGTGGCGGCGCCCTCAGAGGCCCAACCACAGGCGGCGACGCCAACATGGGCCCTCAGAGGAGCGGCGAGGGCCCTCCAAGAGAGGTGGCACCCCAAAGGGCCCTCCCAGGGGAGGGGGGTGGCGCTCCCAGTGGCCCTGTCAGGGGCGGTGGTGCACCCAGGGGCTCTTCCAGGGGCGATGGCGCCCACACGAGACCTCCGAGGGACGGAGGCGACCCCAGGGGCTCTCCTTCGGGGTGGCGGCGACCCTAAGAGCCCTCCCAGGGGCGGTAGAGCCCTCAGAGGCTCTCTTTCGGGGCAGCGGCACCCTCAGGGGCTCTCCTTCGGGGCAGCGGCACCCCCAGGGGCACTTCCAAGGACGGTGGGGTCCCCAGAGCCCCACCCACGGGCAGCGGCGCCCACAGAAGTCCTCCCAGGGGTGTCGGGGGCCCTTCAAGAGGGGTGGCGACCCCAGGGGTGCCTCCTAGGGGGAAGGCGCCTCCAAAGGTCCTCCCAGGAGCGGTGGCGCCTCTAGGGGCCCTTCCAAAGGCGGCGGCACCCACGGGGGCCCTCCTAGGAGCGGCGGCCCACCCAGGGACCCTCCAAGGGGCGGCAGGGACCCTCCTTAAGGGTGGCAGTATCTCTACATGGCCTCCCAGGGGTTGTTTCGCCGCTAGGGGTTCTCCCATGGGCGGCGGCGCCCACAGGAGCCCTCCTAGGTACGGCAGCACCCCCAGCGGCCTGTAAAACCAATGACCCTTTTCAATGTTAATTACTCGCCAACTATGGGTTTCCAAAGTTCGATTTTGGTGTTAATGTGTTATTCTGTAAGTACTTAATTAGTTAAACTTTTAAAATTTCAATTCTGAGAGAAAAGTATAGTTTGGTAAAAAAATTACTAAGGTATAATTTTCGACAGCTTTAGCCCAAAATTAGATTTTGTTGAAAATCACATTATAGGTACTCCCGAGCATGCTGATTTCAAATATATACTCTACGATTCGATTGTAGGATAATTAGGGGTGGACGGCGCTCCCAGGGGCCCTCGCAGGGGCGGCGGCTCCCCTAGCGACCCTCCAAAGGACGTCGGAGACCCCAGGGGCCCTTCCAGATGCGGAGACACCCCAGAGGCCCTACTTAGGGGGTTACGACGACCCAAGGGGCCCTCCCTAGGGTGGCGGCGCACCCAGAGGCCCTCCTTAGGACGGCGGCACCCCCTAAGGCCCATCCACGGGCGGTGGCGCCAACTGGGGCCCTCCGAGAAGCGGCAGGGGTCTTACAGGCGGTGGCTCCCAGGCCCCTTCCAGGGGCGATGGTGGCCCCAGGGGCCCTTCCAGGGACGGTGGCGCTCCCAGGGGCGGCGGAGAATACAGGGGCCCTCCCAGGGGAGTCGGCGCCCCCAGGAGCCCTCCAGGGGCCATATCAGCGGCGGTGGCGACCTCAGGGGCCCTGATAGGGTCAGCGCCGGCCCCAAAGGCCCTTCCAGGGGCGGCAACGCACCTAGGAGGCCTTCCCAGGATTGGCGGCTCCCTCAGGGGCCACGCCAAAGGCAGCGGCGTCCTCTAGAACCCTTCCAGATGCGGCGGCGCCGCTAGGGGCCCTCACAGGGGCGGTGGCATCCCTAGAGGACCCTCTCAAGGGCGGTGGTCCCCCAAGGGCCCTTCTTAAGGATGGCGGTGCCCCTCTGGAGCCCTGTTTGGGGCAGCGACGTCCCCAGGGGCCCTGTCACGGATGCGGAGACACCCCTAGAGACCCTCACAGGAGCCCTTCCAGAGACGGTGGCGCCCCTAAGGGCCCTTCCAGGGGCGGTGGCGCTGTCAGTTGTTCTCCCAGGGGTGGCAGCGTTCCCAAGGGCGGTGGCGCTCCCAGGGGCTCTTCCAGGGGGATGGCGTCGTGCCCTGGGGCCCATCCATGGGCGGCAACGCCCACAGGGTCCGTTCCAGAGGCGGCGGGGACATTCCCTGGAGTGGTGGGGTCTTTCACAGGGGTTGCAGGACTCGAAGCACTACCGCCCCTGGCAGGGCCACCAGGGTCACTGTTGCCCTTGGGAGGGCTCCTGGGAGCGCCACCGCCCCTGGGAATCCCTTTGGGGACGCCACTGCCCCTGGGAAAGGCACTGGGGGCGTTACAGCTGCCAAGCGTGGCGGGGCCCTCACAGGGGGAGCTATAAAGCCTCCAGTGCCTTTCCCAGGGGCAGTGGCGTCCCCAGGGGGATTCCCAGGGGCGGTGGCGCACCCAGGGGCCCTCCCAAGGGCAACAGCGACCCCGGGGGCCCTGCCAGGGGCGGTTGTGCTCCCAGAGTCCCTCCCAGTGGAGGCGGCACCCCCAAAGGCACTCCCAAGAGCAGTGGCGACGCCAGGGGCGGCGGCGCTCCCACGGGTGATGGCGCCCGCTAAGGCCCTGCTAGGGGCGGTGGTGCCCAAATGGGCCCTTCCAGGGGCGGCAGTGCAGCCAGGGACCCTCCCAGGAGCGGCGGCGCTGCCAATAGACCTCCCAGGGGCAGTGGTGTCTTCAGGGGACGGCGGCGCCGCCAGGGGTTCTCCCAAGGGCCGCGGCGCCCCCAGGGCCCCCTGTCAGGGGCGGAGGTTCCCTCAGGGGACCTCGGCAGGGCGGCGGTGCATCCAGGGGCCCTCCCAGGAGAGACGTCGCCCCCCGGGTCTCTCCCAAGGGCGTCGGCGCCCACAGGGGCTTTTTCAGATGTGGAGTCGCCCTTAGGGTCCCACACAGGGGGCGGCGGCGTCCCCATGGAGCCCTATTAAGGGCGGCGCCACCATCAGGGGCCTTCCTTAGGGGTGATGGAGTCCCCCGGGCCCTCGCAGGATCAGCGGCACTCCCAGGGGCCTGCCACGGGCTGTGGCGCCCCCAGGGGCAATTCCAGGGGCATCGGCGCCACCAGGGGTTCTTCCAGGAACGGTGGCACTCCCAGGGGTCCTCCTTGGGTTGCTGGCTCTCTCAAGGGTCCTCCTAAGGGACGCGACGCCCCCAGGACCCTCCCAGATGTCAAAGCGCCACCCTTGGGCTAATACTGGGGCGGCGGCGCTCCTAGGGAACCCTCCCTAGGGCGGAGGCGCCTCCAGAGGCCCGCCTTCTGGGTGGCGGCAACCCTAGGGGCCATGCCAGGGGCGGTGGCGCCCCAAGGGGTGCTTCCTAGGAGTGGTGGCGTCCCTAGAGTCGTCCCCAAAAGCGGCAGCTCCCCCAGGGGCCTTCCAAGGGGTGACGGCGCCCCTAGGGGGCCTTCCAGGGGCGGCAGCGCCGCTAGGGTTCTTTCAGGGGCGTTATTGCCCCCAGGGGCTCTCCCAGTGGTGGCTGCGCCCCCAGGTACCCTTTCAAGGGCGGTGGTACCCCCCAGGGGGTTTTACAGGGGCAGCGGCGCCAACACCGGTTCTCCCAGGGGTAGCAGGGGCCTTCCCAGGGTTGGCGCCCCGAGGGGGCCCTACCAGAGGGGCCGCGTCCCCAGGGGCCCTGCCAGAGGTGGCGGCGCCCCCAAAGGCCCTCCCGAAACGGTGGCGCCCTCAGGGGCACTACCAGGGGCCGCAGTGACCCCAAGGGCCCTTCCAGGGGCTGTAGCGCCCTGAGAGGCCCTCCCAATGGCGGCAGCGCCGTTAGTGGCCCTCCTTACGGGTGGCGGCGCCCCCTCGGGACCTTCCCAGGGGCAGAGGCGCCCTCAAGGGCCCTCCCAGGGGTGGCGGGACCTTCCCTGGGGCGGCAGAGTCCCTGCCAGGGACTGTGGTGCCCCCAGTGGCCCTCCCAGTTGCGGCGGCGCCGCCAAGGGCTCTCCCAGGGCGGCAGCCGACCCCAGGGTTCCTTCCAGGGGCGGTGGCGCCCCCAGGGCCCCTGCCATGGGCGTCAGTGCCTCTAAGGCTCTCGGCGGAGCGGTGGCACCATCAGGGGCCCTTACAGGGGCAACGGCGCCCCCAGGGGTACTCCCAGATGCGGAGGCGCCCCTAGGAGCCCTTACAAGGGCGGCGGCGCCTCTAAGAGGCCCTTCCAAGGGCGGCGGCGCCGCCAGGGTCTTTTCCATGCGCTCTGGCGCCGCCAGGGTCTTTTCCATGCGCTCTGGCGCCGCCAGGGTCTTTTCCATGCGCTCTGGCGCCGCCAGGGTTCTTACAGGGGCGGAGGCGCCCCCAGGGGTCCTCATGATAGCTCTGAGGCTTCTGCGTGGTGATCCTGATAACATTGTTTCCTTAAAATTGCTAGAATGTATGAACCATGGGACTGGTGAATCTAAATGGATCCAAACAACAGCTACACATATGAAGATGTTTGGACTAGACCACCTGTACAAAGTTGAGACACAAAAGCGCTTCCTGCCACCCTGGCGGGCAATTCCCTTCGATATCACAATACCGACATATCCGCCTAAATAAATAATTATACAAAGTATTTATCTCCAACACATTGCCAAAGTGAGAGCTCTTGAACACATACACACACTACAGACTGATGATAATATCACACAGACCATCTACACTGATGGATCTCTTAACATCGCCTGTGGGAGGGCTGGAAGTGCTATTGTTGTGACTCAACCTGACGGTAATATAATTGAGAAAGGAGTTAGAATTAACAACTGAATTAGTTGCCATACTCACAGCTATCAAATTCATTGAAACCACTGTTACTGACAGTCTCATCATCACTGACTCTCTATCCTCACTACTTGCCCTTGGCACCCTCAACTCAAGTTGTCACGCGCTTGTCTCTGAAGCCAGACACAAATCTGCGTACCTTGTTGACCGGGGTGTCAAGGTCAAACTTTTGTGGATCCCCTTTCACATAGGACTCAAAGAACATGACAGTTGATGCCCTCGCCAAACTCGCGTCTAACAAAGACACCGTTGAATACAATTTGGGTCTGTCAAAAGGAACCCTTAAAACTGTAATTAGGAAAGAACTTATTGATGAATTTGACGCAAGTAGACAAGTGCAAACAGGCACTAGTCGATCCATAGTTTACCATGATGAGATGTATTAAGTGAAACATGTATATGGAGCAAGTAACAAGATCACTAGATTACAAGATGTTGTAACCGCTAGATTAAGGTTAGGATATAAGTACCTTTGGCAGTATGTTCCCCAAGCAGATGTAAACAAGACTAAATGTAAAGTGAATGGCCAGCACACTTGAACACTACGTCCTCGACTGTGTGAAGATAGAACCTTTTAGGGACAGGTCCAAGCACACTGTGTGTGAAATGGCACAACACTTCATCTCTAATGGCAAGATAGCCGACATATTAAGATTGTATCCACTTTTTTGCACTTAGTAACTATATCAGTAATCATGTATAGAACCAAATACACAATGTGCTTGAATACTTCTCACGCAAATGTGAATAACAAAGTGTGCGGCCAGACATACTGCCTAACAGTCCTGTACTCACGCAGTTGTGAATAAGTTACCCTTTATGTATAGAACTAAACAAATAATGTAATTGAAATACTGCGTAACTTTCAGTGCCATAATATCCTGACCACGGGGGTTAATTATTATGACCCGTTGTAAACTCTACTCTGTAATCCTTTTGCGCTACCGCTCACAGGATGAGTGTGGGGTGCACAATAAAGTAGCCGCTGTAAGCGGCAAAATCAAAATCACCATAAGCGGCGGTGCCCCCCGGGGCCCTGCCAGGGACGGCGGTGCCCCCCTGGGCCCTCCCAGGGGCAGCGGCGCCCACAGGAGGCCTTCCTGGAGCGGCGGAGCCCCCGGAGGCCCTGACAAGGACTAGGGCGTCTCCAAGGATCCTTTCAGGGGCGGTGGCGCCCCAGTGGCCTTTCCAGTAGCGGTGGCGCCGCCAGGAGTTCTCCCAGGGATGGTCCCAGTGGCCCTGCCAGGGGCAGCGGCGGTCCTTGGGGGCTCTCCCAAGGGCGGTGGCGCCCCTAGGGGCCCTCCCAGATGCAGAGACGCCACTAGGGGATCTCATAGGGGTGGCGGCGCTCCTAGGGGGCGCTCCTAAGGGCGGCGGCGCCCCCAGGGGCCCTCCTTAGGGATGACGGTAACTTTTTACGCATTCATACGCCTCACAAACAGTTTTCTCGTGTTAGAAATGAGCTATTGCCCAGCTTATCTTTCGGTACCGACCTGACCTAGCTTGGAGTAGGACGTGCCCCTAAGTGCTCGTGTTAGTGACCATAGGAAATGGCCGCCGTGGATCGTTGTGATGTGGGGGAAGAGGGACGGTGTGTGAAGAAAGACGACCCCTTGGCCACTCTGCTAAGTCAGTTGGAGCAGTTGAGGATAGAGATAGAAGATTGAAAGGGGGAGAGTGAAGCCCTCAGGACTGAACTCCTTCAGGTAGGTGTCCTGCCTAGCAGGACACTTGTGAAGGAGGGTCAGGAGGAGCAGGGGTGGAGAGTGGTTATCTCCAAGGGGACTAGGGTCAGACTCAGGAAAGCTGACCAGGGTGTGGAGTGCAGTAACCCCTACCAAGTGTTGAAGGAAGCTGGCGAGGAAGAGAAGAGGCCGGTGCCAGGAGAGAAAAGGGCAGTTGTTCAGACCCTGCCCAGTGGTAAGGTTGTGGTAGTTGGGGACAGCCAGGTGAGGTTTTTAGATAGGACTTTTTGTGCAAGATATAGGAAACGTAGGACTAGGGTGTGTTTTCCTGGGGCTGGGATAGGGCTTGTAGCTGAGAGGATAGATAGGGTTTTGTAAGGGGAGGGTACCAAGCCAGTAGTGTGTCTTAGTGTAGGAGGTAACGACATAGGAAAGGTTAGGAGTGAGGAACTTTTCAAGAGATATAGGGAGGCGCTGGGGAAGATTAGAGATAGGGGAGGGATCCTGATAGTATGTGGTGTCTTGCCTAGAAGAGGAGTTGGTAGTGAATGGCTGTCCAGGGCAATTGCTATAAATTACCGACTGGAAAATCATTGTGCAAGCAATGGTTGGGCGTTCCTCGATAACTGGCAACCATTCTATGGCAACGACTACCTGTACAGTCGTGACGGAGTACACTTGTCTTGAGTGAGAAAAATGGCAAATGAAATTCAACACCAGCAAGTGCAGCATACTTACTATTGGAAGAACAAATATTGTTAATGTATACAGCGTTAACAACATCAACCTACCGAAGTCGAATTGTGAAAGAGACTTAGGGGTACTTGTAAGCCCGGACCTATGGCCTAGAAAACAGTGCATTAATGTTCGAAATAAGGCAAACAAAGTATTAGGTTTTATACCTAGAAGTGTAAGTAATAAGAGTGCAGAGGTCTTATTGCAACTATATCTTGCGCTAGTCAGGCCGCACCTCGATTATGCTATTCAGTTCTGGTGCCCTTATTATAGAATGGATATCAATTCACTGGAGTCGGTGCAGCGAAGAATGAAGAAAATGATTCTGGGACTTAGAAACCTTCCATATCAAGATAGATTAAAGAAACTAAACTTGCATTCCCTAGAAAGACGAAGAGTGCGGGGAGATATGATAGAATTATTTAAGTGGGTAAAAGGAATCAATAAAGGGGATATAGATTGTTACCGCAAGCGGTACATAATTATGATGACATATAAACAAATGTTATGTTAGGCTGTAACTCATGTCATGTTTATTGGGCGTGCCTGCCCGTGTACAGTGTAGAGTGTTGAGATGAGAGGCCCAGGAGGAGGTTGGAGGGTGTGAAGGGAGTTTGTTTATGTATCATTATAATCACCTGACTCAGCCATAGCTGACCAGCCAAGGGGCCAGGCTATAGGGTGGGCATTTCAGTATAGCTACCCATATCTTAGAGTCAACACCTACCCTGGCTTCTCTCTAGACTTTCAACACATAAGTTTAACTAGTACTTCTTGTGTACACAGGTAGACTGTGTCATTGTTTTTGTGTTAAGATTAGACTAATTACATAGCCATGATTGTTATGTAAATATATATTGGATTAAACATTTATGTAGGAGTGCCTATGTATGACTTATTTGAAATACTAAATGAATTGTATTCAACAGGTTTGACCGAATTATAATGTTCGTGTACGACGTGAGAAGTATTATTCACCCTCTAACCGTCTGATTGGCGGTTACAGTCAAACGTGGATGTCTACTGTGCAGCAGTGCTACCTTGAATCAATGCGCGGGCAGCAGTAACCAAGGTCAACTCAACTCAACCCACTGGAGGGATGCGCGTGAGTGTGTGCGTGCGCGCGCGCGTTCCCAGTGCCACGGATTACAGTGCACGCCCATAGATATATAGTGGCGATAATACTTGAACCTTTATGTTAGTGAAGAAAATAATGTTGTCAGAGTGAGCTCAGCCACTCTTAGTGTACTTGGCTCACCAACACTCGTCACTCGAGGGACGAGTGTGTGCGTTTGGGTGTGGATGTGTGTGTATCCAGTGGCGAGTAAGTGCAGTGCAACGTCCGTGTACTTCTCGCATCGATAGTCTTGTGTGGGTGATCTTCATCACTCCCAGTGTAGTGCATATGAGAATGAAAACACTATGTAATTATTGTTGTCTGAAGGAAGTGCAGAACACAAATAGCAGTCATAATTGACTGAAGTGATAATGCTTTGTAAATAACCCAAATATCAATGTAAAGTCTGTAATGACTATCAGTAAAGCGAAATTTTCAAGGTCTCGTGAAACAGGAGTCAGTGGCAGGCACCTCTGATGGTGGCATGGCCCAGAAAGCCAACGACAGTTCGTACATGGCCGGAAAAATAGGCCATGTCTATGCTACAGGGACAAAGGACGCCCATGAAAACCCATACAGCTGCGAAAGCGACATCTGACTATCGAAGAAAAATGCCAAGATTGTACTGCCCATAGTGAGTGTGAAGATTCGGGGAAAGGACTCACACCAACGAAATCACATCAGAACTTTAGCTCTCTTGGACTCAGGCAGCGACAGGTCGTATTGCACCAAAGATCTGACACAGAAACTAAGGGTGAAAGGGACACTTAACCTGGTAACCATGGGTACACTTGCCCAAGAGATGATACTCGAGACAGAGGAGGTAGATCTAGAAGTGGTTGGCGCAGGCATGAAACGAGGCAGAACCATACTTATCCCGAAAGTACTCATTATACAAAATTTCCCCACAACGCTTCACAACTCCGAAGCGAACACAAGTGGTATGTCAAGGTGGACCCATCTGCGAGGTATGGAATTACCAGAATTGCAGAGCAACAGCATAGAAATTCTGATAGGACAAGATGTGCCACAGACCCTGGTACCCTTGGAGGTCAGAGCAGGAAGGGATGGAATGCCATTCGCCATAAAAACGCGACTGGGTTGGACAGTAAATGGACCGGTGGGGCGCCAAGACGCACAAGGAGTTTGCATGTCAGAATGCCTGATGACCGAAACTGTCTTGAGTCCTGAAACCCGTCTGGAAAGACAAGTTAAGCTTTTTGGGAGCTGGAAAGTGGGGACACAGGAGCCATGCAGTCAGCAGCTCATTCACTTGAGGACAAAAGAGTGTTGAGACTATGGTCAGAGACAAGCATCAAAACTAATGGTCATTACCAATTTCCCATACCGTTCCGTAATGAGAACACGGAACTCCCAAACAACAAGGCCGTGGCGGAGCGTCGACTAGATAGGCTTCGAAGGAGACTATCCAAGGACGCACGGCTGCGACAAGGATACGTAGAGGAAATAAATAAACTGCTTGCTGAAGGATATGCTGAATCAGTGCCTAAGTGCCAGTTGGAGTCCGATACTGGACTGGTCTGGTATCCGCCTCATCACCTGGTGTTGAATCCAAATAAGCCAAACAAAGTACGCATAGTTTTTGACTGTGCAGCCAAACACAAAATGACATCGCTGAACGACCAGGTACTACAAGGTCCAGACTTCAACAACAAATTACTTGGAGTCCTGTTTAGGTTTCGCCAAGGAACTACAGCCATCATGGCAGATGTGGAGGCTATGTACCATCAAATCCATGTAGCGCCAGAACATCGAGAGGCGTTAAGATTCCTCTGGTGGGAGAATGGGGACCTGAGTAGAGAGCCAGTAACTTACAGGATGAAGGTGCACATCTTTGGTGGGGTGTGGAGCCCTTCATGTGCAACTTACGCTCTCCGGCGCACATTCCAAGACCACAGATCCGAGTTTCCCGACATGGTGGCGCAAGCGGAAGTCAACTTCTACGTTGACGACCTGCTCATGTCGCTGGACTCATCAAATGAAGCATTAATGTTAGCGGGTCAGCTTCAAAGACTGTTGGCGTGTGGAGGATTTCGGTTAACTAAGTGGGCCAGTAATCACAAAGGAGTGTTGGCTACCATCCCACCAGAGGAGAAGCAAAATGCATTGAAGGAAATTGATCTGAGGCAAGACAAATTGCCAATGGAGCAAGCCCTGGGGGTTAGGTGGCTCCTGGAAGGTGATCAGCTCGCCATCAAGGTGCAACCAAACTCAAGGCCAGCGACCAGGAGAGGAGTATTAAGCCTGGTCAGTTCTATTTATGACCCACTGGGGTTCGTGGCCCCATTCATCATCAGGGCTAAAATATTATTTCAGTGTGAATGCAAGCGTCGATTAGGGTGGGACGAACCTTTGTCGGCTGTTAATCACACGACCTGGATCACCTGGCTAGGAGAATTGGCCCACCTAGGGAAATTAAGGGTACCCAGATGCCTAAAAACAGCATGTGCTAAAGAAATCATCTCAGCGCAGTTGCACACCTTCTGCGATGCATCGCAGGCTGCTTACGGTGCGGTGACCTATCTGAGAATGGTAGATTCTGGCGGAAGTATTCAGTGCTCTTTCGTGTACGGACGGGCCAAGCTGGCCCCACTCAAGCAACTGACAATACCAAGGCTGGAACTTTGTGCAGCTGTCCTGGCAGTGAACGCTGATCGAACGATTTGCCGAGAAATGACCATGACCATACACGAATCTTATTTTGGACGGATAGCATGCAGTACATCGCCAATTCGAGAAGACGATTTCAAACGTTTGTAGCCAACAGGATAGCAGTCATACAAGAGCTGTCAAGAACTGACCAGTGGAGACATGTCGGCACATCGCTGAACCCAACAGATGATGCAACCTGTCCTGGACCTGGTTGCAGGATCTCGGTGGATACGAGGTCCTGACTTTCTACTCAGTGTTGAAGAGCGGTGGCCAAAGGGAAAGGAACTGCCAGCAGTTCTGAACGACTTACTGGAGGTGAAACGAGAAGTACACCAGAGATCTGTAGTTGCTCTGGCAGTGAGCGAGCAGTCAAAGTGGTCCCTCGCCAAACTGTGGCTAAGGTACTCATCATGGTACCGCTTGGTGAAAGGGGTGGCATGGATTAAAAGGTTCATTTGGTGGCTTGGGTCCAGTACAAGGACCGCAGACCTGCGCCTCAAACTGAAGAGGCTAAGCACTGAGGAACTACAGTCGGCTGAGCAAACAATTATAAAATTGGTGCAGAAAGAGGCTTATGAGATGGAAATCCAAACTGTCATAAAGGGTGAGCTGCCGAAGGACAATAAGCTATATAAACTGGAACCTTACTTGGACGAGCGAACGTTGCTCAGATCAAAGGGAAGAATTAAAGGAACCCTTCTTGGGCGAAGTGGTGAGGAGCCAATCTTGCTGCCTAGAGACCACCACATCACCGAAATCATAGTGCGGGAGATGCACGAAGACAGAGCCGGACATGCCGGACGAGACACACGATGGCGTGTGTGAGGCAAAGGTATTGGATCCCCCAGGGCAGACGCTTGCTTGATAGAATCATACGACGCTGTGTAGTGTGCCGACGGAACAACTGGAGAAGTCGGCATCAAGGGCAAGCTGACTTACCAATAGATCGTGTCACTCCTGGAAAGGCTCCATTTGCTTACACTGGAATAGACTGTTTTGGTCCATTCATTATCAAGGTAGGGAGGAAACAGGTTAAGAGCTGGGGATGTCTGTTTACATGTCTAACTATTAGGGCTGTTCATCTAGAAGTCTTGGCCTCATTAGACGCAGATGCCTTCCTCAACGCAATAACAAGGTTCTCACGACGCAGAGGTACGCCAGAGCCTATTAGGTCGGGTAATGGGACAAACATGGTACGGGCAGCCAAAGAGCTCAAACTGGCAGTGAAAAGTTGGGAGCAAGATGACAGACTCAGAGGTGCCTTACTGAAAGCAGATATTGACTGGGTCTTCAATCCACCAGCTGCCCCATACATGGGGGGAGTGTGGGAAAGGCAGATTCGCACAGTAAAGAAGGTTCTGCAGGCGATTGTGGGCTCACAAGTTTTAGACGATGAACGTCTGCAAACACTGTTCTGTGAAGTGGAAGCCATAGTTAACGAGAGGCCAATCACCTTGGCTCCAAACACTCCAAATGAACCAAAGGCTCTCACTCCTGCTGATCTTTTGCACTTAAGTCAATAGGGTAATCTTCCCTCAGGTGGAAGGTCAATAGGCGAATCATACCACAGAAGGTGGAAGCATGTCCAGTACCTTGCAGATTAATTTTGGAAGCGCTGGCTGACGGAGTACCTCCTTCAACTCAGAACTCGACAAGTGCATTTCAGACCACGGCGCAACTTTCGCCCTGGTGACCTAATCATTATAGCAGAAGCAAATAGTCCACGCAACAAATGGCACCTTGGTCGAGTGATGGAAGTCAAGGCTGGAGAGGATGGACTTGTCCGACAGGCAGTGGTTAAGACGACGTCCACAATGATGCGACTTGTGACAAAATTATGCTTGTTGGAGGGAGCAATGGAAAGGGTTGACGGAGTCGGCCAGGAGAATGAATTGGGTATCCACACATGAAGATGGTGATGTCCGAACGTCAAAGGACCGAGATGTCCTAAGGAACTGATAAGTACAACAAGCCTGAGGGCAGCTTAGTCACGAGAACGTGACAAAGTTAAATACCACCAGCCTGAGGGCAGCTTAGTCACGAGAACGTGACAAAGTTAAATACCACTAGCCTGAGGGCAGCTTAGTCACGAGAACGTGACAAAGTTAAATACCACCAGCCTGAGGGCAGCTTAGTCACGAGAACGTGACAAAGTTAAATACCAACAGCCTGAGGGCAGCTTAGTCACGAGAACGTGACAAAGTTAAATACCACCAGCCTGAGGGCAGCTTAGTCACGAGAACGTGACAAAGTTAAATACCAACAGCCTGAGGGCAGCTTAGTCACAAGGACGTGACAAAGTTAAATACCACCAGCCTGAGGGCAGCTTAGTCACAAGGACATGACAAAGTTAAATACCACCAGCCTGAGGGCAGCATAGTCGCATGAACGTGACAAACTTAAGTATCAAAGGCCTGATCTGGTTTTGAGCGTGAACGCTCAACGGAGTGGGTGTTACCGCAAGCGGTACATAATTATGATGACATATAAACAAATGTTATGTTAGGCTGTAACTCATGTCATGTTTATTGGGCGTGCCTGCCCGTACACAGTGTAGAGTGTTGAGATGAGAGGCCCAGGAGGAGGTTGGAGGGTGTGAAGGGAGTTTGTTTATGTGTCATTATAATCATCTGACTCAGCCATAGCTGACCAGCCAAGGGGCCAGGCTATAGGGTGGGCATTTCAGTATAGCTACCCATATCTTAGAGTTAACACCTACCCTGGCTTCTCTCTAGACTTTCAACACATAAGTTTAACTAGTACTTCTTGTGTACACAGGTAGACTGTGTCATTGTTTTTGTGTTAAGATTAGACTAATTACATAGCCATGATTGTTATGTAAATATATTTTGGATTAAACATTTATGTAAGAGTGCCTATGTATGTCTTATTTGAAATACTAAATGAATTGTATTCAACAGGTTTGACCGAATTATAATGTTCGTGTACGACGTGAGAAGTATTATTCACCCTCGAACCGTCTGATTGACGGTTACATAGATAAAGTTCTTATAATATCCGAGCAGGATAGGACTCGTAGCAACGGATTTAAGTTGGATAAGTTTAGGTTTAGGAGGGAGATAGGAAGGAACTAGTTCACAAATAGGGTGGTAGACGAGTGGAACAAGCTTAGCAACTTTGTACTGTAGTAAGTGCTGGAACGCTGGAAAGTTTTAAAAGGAGGCTAGATAGATTCATGGATGATAAGAGTGGTAGTAACTCTCGACAGGAGCTGCCATGCACAGGCCAACCAGCCTATTGCAGACTCCTTATTTTCTTATGTACTTATGTTGTCCCCAAAAAGTGATCTATTCTCTCTCTCCAACTATCGACACAACAGTTTTGGATTCTGGCATTAAAAAAACAGGTACAGTAACTTAAACATTTTGATGTACAGTCAGCCATGTATTTGTAAGGTTGGTACCTCTGATTGTGTGATTCATTGTAAAACTAATGTGCTGTTACTCCTTTTATAATGTGAAGTAACCACAGAGAAATTACCAGGAATACATATAAAACCCATAGCACCAAAACCAGATAATGTCACAGCATTAAATACTATACTCTAGAAACCGAGGTGCCTTATAGGAATTGCGCATACTATGAGATAAAACGGGACCGTGTAAATACTCATGACTATAACCATTAAATATGAAAGTGATGAGAAGTGGCATAATACAAGACCTAAACCAGAAAACAATACAAAACATTTGTAACGCAGGAAAGTTATACAATATTGCACATAGGTAACTGAGCTACTGGAAAGATATGAGTTAATAAACAAGCTACATCTCTTTAATATGTCACAAAATATGATAAGAATAGGGAGTTGACTGGGGGTAACTGGTAGTAAAATTCACAAAGCAAAAACATTATCAGTGTTATTTAACAGTGTAGCAAAGAATTTCACCAGAGCAAGTGTGCTCCTCCAGCCTGGCGGCCAGCACAAACTTGCAGGTTCCCTGCTGCTGCCCTGACATCATCCTTTACCACCTCCATTTTGCATTTTCCGATGATCCGCCTCAGCACTTCCCCCACCCCTATAGGCCTACTGCCACTAACTACTACTAATAATAATAAATGAAGAACACAGTCGTTTTAATTTAGGTTGGAGGTAATAATAAGCTCTCACCTCCAGCATGATCATCTCGTCTCACTAGTTTCAGAGCCACGTACTATTTACCCACCCGGGATAACCAGACCTTCAGCCACCACCATCACCCTCCCCAAACATTATCAAACCGAGGTAATTTTTTGCTCGATCCCCCTGAAATGAAAAAGACGGGGTTAACCTTTTTCTCTCGTGAATGTTATTATTCTTTTCTTCTTTCCCTGTATGCTATTATTGCATTTTCTTTCTTTGATTTTATTCTTATTTCCTGTCTTTGCGTTTATTGTTCTTACTCTCGTTTTCACTCATGTTTGGTGTTATTCCCATTTTTCCTCCATGCACGAGTTATTATTTTCCTTTGTCTGTCTGTCTGTCTGTCTCGCTTCATTATCCCATATGCATTAAAAAACGATTAGTACTACAACACCTGTACAACATGTTCATTACAACACTAGTATTGCATGCTCACATCGTCCAGCACTACAATTGATCACATACAATGTTATCGCCGCTGGCTTCAGCTACAGTGCTGGTTTGTGATGCCATTAAATCTTTCGACCTGTGACCTCGCCAGATGTAGAAGTGTTTACAGACAAGTCCTGGTTCTGCTGAGTGGACTGTCTTAGACTGGTGGCGGTGGCTGCCCGCCCCTCCATGAGACAGATCTCCCTCTCTAGTGATGCTGTGAAGACCAGCCTTCTGTCCGAGAATTTGTGCTGGGACGATTTACGCAATACTGTTTTCTCTTGGAACACCATACTGATCTGCATTGACCCGCACTTGTAAGTACAGCCTAAGTGATGACATACCCCTCGGTACTGAAATATTGTTGAATAATTACGCCTACTAGTTTCTGCCTAACCTGGAATAATAATACAATGCAGAGTGAAGCGAAACTAAGATTAATAGAGTTATGAACTTTGTGTTATGTCAGTATGTTTAATAAATTGTAATTAAGATAAAATTGTGTGAGACTAACTAATTATGTATCAGATGGATCACCTTGTAATATTATGAACGCCTTCTCCTCTGCAGGTTTTGACCACATCAATAAATATTGAATGCGTCAAAAGACGGGTTTCAATCATTCCCTTCGACTTGCCCGTCACCTGAACGTCCTTAACTAAGGCGTTTACATACAACATTCACAGCCATTTCATCACGTATTCCCCCTTAAAAACAGAAACACTTAAGAATGTTAATAATAAACCACGAGCAGCATCAGACTAGCCACTAGCAAATAACATCGTGGCGTCGACAAAAAGCTACTGTATTAACTAACTACGTACCATCACCTTCTCTCAGGAACTTTATACTTGCCACAAAATTCAGCATCTTGACGTGTCTCGATGTTGTTTCGCCAGGTCACTTGAAGATCCACATCCTTGTGTTATTATACAGTATATGACGACCTGCGGATCTTGACATCTTGTGACCGACCACACCTGCCGAGAGAGAATATAAGGACGATGTCTTGTAAATGATCTTTGATCCTCCTCTATTTATATTAATGTAAACGTATTAAGAGAAGAAGAAGAAGAAGAAAGGAGAAGAGAGAGAGAGAGAGAGAGAGAGAGAGAGAGAGAGAGAGAGAGAGAGAGAGAGAGAGAGGCTTGAACTACCCACTCTAATTTTCTCCATGTAATTTCGTGCAGCCAGTAATCCGGGTGAGAGGCGCTGCTCATTTGTTTGGTAGTGAAGGCGTTCGCAGACACTCTCTGTATTTACGCGCCTTCCTCCTGACTTCTATTGCTTTTATTTGTCAAGTGGAACAAATATATTTGCTTAGTGAGTTAATTGGACCTCAAAACACAGAGATTTAAGAGAGAAAAACATCTATTAAATGAGGATATCTCTCTTAATGGTTGTAAATTTGACGTACAAGATAAGATTGGCAATATAGCATTCTCAAAAATTCTAAAGATATGTTCTTAAGGTCTGGAAAAGCATCCATATGGCTGAATTATTTTAAAACAGAATGATAGCGGCCAAAATTACATCTAAAGTGCGCTGGGACTCGCCTGTAACTTGATACTGTCTCGGGTCTCAGTAAATGTTGCGGGGAAAAAAAGGTTTGTGTGAAAATATTTGAGAGTCCTGTCTTTGGTGAAAATAACTTTGGGATATTAAAATACAAAATATCATCCCATACGATTTTTCTCATCCCGATTAAAATTGCATATTATTATTACGTACTGGAGATATTTGTTTACAATATTTGTGGCGGCGTTCCCAGAGGTACAATAATCCCCGGGTTAAATGAAATGCACTCGGTCTTGTAGCACACACGAGTTTCAGGCAAGTAATTGTAAAATACTTCGTAAACATATTATTAAAAGTCTATCAAACGAGAGTCTGATAACAACATGTGTATACGGTATACTGTAAATGGGTTTAAAACGATAATTTACT